AGGACGACTTTCACTTATTTACTCTCGACAGAAGGTTCATCCATTCAGCTGCCTTTGAATCTATTTCTAAGTCACACGCTGTCGGGTGATTCTATACCATGACTGTCACGGTGCAGTCTTCTCAAGTTCATGCAGATTTAGAAGCGAGCAGCTAGAGGTAAGTTAAGGGCTTTTAGGATTTGGTGAATCACTGCATCAGACAGAGAGAGGTTGATAATTGTATAGATATTTATGGATTATAGATTAACTACATGTAAATACACCGTTTGGTTTTCTAAATCCGTGTTACTATGTTGTGTTGATCCTTTAGCGTTACCTGATCCGCGTCCATGGTTGTCAGAGGGGATTACAATGGTGGCGTTGTAGATAGTATGTCACATTGCCTTGCCTTGCTTATTCACGTATACATCTGTCTATATACATTGCACATCTATCGGGTGGTTCGTGACTTGGTTCACTGCGTGTCATCGTGCCCAGACGGAGTGGGAAGAGGTTTAACAGCCTGGGTCATACAACTGGGGTATTCACTCAAACATGATAAACGTTAGGAGCTTTTCCAATTATGGATGAAGCAATTCTACACAGTTCCCAGCACTTGAACAGTCCACACAGATGTTTTTTTTTTATTGTTGTGTGAAATTTGTTTGCTTGTTGTTTGACGCCACATTCAGCAATATTCAAGCTATATGACGCGATTCTGGATTGGACGAATTGGGATACGATGTCTTTAGTGGCAGTCGTCTTCCGGCATGAATTTGCATCAATGATGTAGTGCCGGTTGACTAAGCTGGACGGTTGTTGACACCACCTGGTGGAGAACCTGCTGCGATAGGGTCGCAGCTAACCAGCTGAGAAACCCCTATATAAGCAGCAACGTCAGTTAAGTCGGCAGAGAGGCAGAGAAGGGCGCTGAACACTGAATAGGACCAGACCAACAGAGCAGTCCAGAAGAAACGGCATAAGAACACGAGCCAACGGCCGACAGCTAACAGTCAAGTCATCGCTCAGAAGGCCAGCACACTGGGACGAGCTCTAGTCACACTTGGTCACGCCTGAAACAGCCCATAGCCTCTTTCACAGTCTCTGCCACGCCCTTGTTAGCCGGTTGTGGTACCGGCGTATAAAGAGTCCTTATTATTAAAGCTGCTGAAACCATAGACCGTTTTTGTCTGTTGTGCATTCAGCAATATTCAAGCTATATGACGCGATTGTGGATCGGACAAATCGATTCTGCCTAATCGATTCTGGATCGGACAATCCTGTGAATAACATCATGAGCATCCATCTACCGATTTGGGATGCGATGACATTCATGAACCTAGTCAGCCTGACCACCCGATCCTTTATTTCGCCTCCTAGGACATGCATTGATTGCTGAAGACCATATCTAACAAAATTAGATGGCGCTTGTATCCTGCATGTATCCCAAGAAGAAAGTGAACATTAGGTGTCGAATGCACATACATGTATCCAATGAAGAAATTAAACACTGTGTGTAGATTGTATCCTACATGTATCATACGAAGAAAGTCAACATTAGGTGTACAATGCATGTTTGGTGTCGAATTTATCCTACTTTTATTCCACGAAGGAAGCGGAGCTCAACTGTCCACGGAGATGCAGGCGGATGTATGAGTAAAATCAGAATTTCGGTCGAAATGGGACCAAGACAAGTCCAAGCAGATCATCTTCTGTTTACTGTGTACTAGAGAAGAAGAAAAAGAACTTTTATTTGCATGAAGGCCTCGGGCCAATGTACAATAACAGTTCACAATATACCAACTGTTCACAGATGCAATGGTAAAGTAACGTGACACATGTCATAATTGAATTGTACTACTTGTTCTTTTTGCATAAGCGTAATATAGGAAACGTGATAAACTATTTAAGACTGCGTCATTGTTATTACACATAATAGATTTGAAATGGTTCAAGCTAGGATATCGGCAAAGTTTTGCCGGTAAGTATTCTTTTCTGAGATCATTATGACATGAACAAATGAGTAAAAAATGAAATTCATCCTCTATACCATTATTACAGACAGGTCATATTCGAAGAGACTTGTCTATTGACAGATATCTGCCTTCATTATTCTTTAATTTTAAAAGACCTGCTCTAAATCTTACAATTATGTTTCTAAATTTTCTATCATACAAAACTGAAAGATATTTTTCAGGTTCTAAAAGACTTTTAAACTCTGCATATAAATGATATCTTGAACTAGAGTTTAAGACTGATCTCCAGTTTTGGTAAAACATTTTTATACAAGTATCCTTAAAAAGTCGTAGAAATAAAAGCTGGTTCCCAACTGTTTGCGATATCCATTCAAAACCAAAGCCATGACAAAAAAGAAGTAAACGAATGATAGAAGCCCATGTATGGCGTCCACAGTTATCTAAATACAATAACATATCATAAGCCTTTTTTGGCCATCTGTCTTCATTCATATGAATTAATTTAAGCCAAAACTTAAGTGTTCTAACATAGGAGTTGATGTACAGTGGAACGCGACCCGTTTCCCCGTAGATTATAGCATTTGGGGTTTGTTTCCTACTTGCAGTATTTCTTACAGGCTAATAGATTAACTTTTTCCAATTTGTCATATTGCTGAAATCCCCACACTTCAGAGCCATATAAAAGTATAGGTTGTATTTGCGAATCAAATATCTGAAAAAACACTGACTTTGAAATAAGATCAATTTTACTTAAAGTTGCAATCAATTCGACCAAAGCTCTTTTTTGCTCTTCGTGCTAGATCAGATATACTATAACTGAATTTTCCTGATGAATAAAAAGGTAAACCAAGATATTTGTAGCTTGACACTACCTCAACCTTTCCCCCCCCCCCCCCCCCCCCCCCCTATAATACCAAATATTCTTTTTTGAAAGCACCCCACCTCGTCTGTTGTGAAAAACAACTTTTGTTTTTTCCAGATTTACCGTCAAAATCCATTTTTCTGTGTGGGTTTCTAGAATACTCAACTGAGTCTGTAGCCCCGTGACACTATCTGATGTTAAAATAACATCGTCGGCAAACAACAATAACAGTATCTCTATTAAAACAGGGAATAACTGTACACCATGCTTTCCATTAGAAATAACTTCATTAGATAATTCGCATATGAAAAGTGAAAGCAGTAATGGACTCAAAATACACCCTTGTCGTAGACCAGTAGGGCAGTCAAAATAATCTGTGAAACCTAGATCACATTTTACACACGATTTAACACTTTTATATAAACTTCTTAAAGCTTTTAACATTTTACTACTTATACCATAAGACATTAAGAGATTCCACAACTTATAACTTATAACAAAATCAAAAACCTTTCTAAAATCTACAAATGCCGCATAAAGTTTTGATTTCTTTTTACATAAACATTTCTGAATAATAGCATACAGAGTAAATATGTGGTCAGTGGTTGCATAACCCTTTCTGAAACTGGCCTGTGTTTCTTGTATTCTGTTCTTGATGTTTGCCCATATAGTTATTCGTTTACTTAAAACAGACGTGTAAACTTTACCTATAACACTGAGAAGTGATTACTTTTCTCTGCTTTTTTATGAACAGGAATGATAATAGCTTTTGACCAAACATCAGGAAAAACACCAGACTCAAATATTCTATTAAATAACACATTCAGAAAGGGCATGACAACATTTTCAGAGACTTTTAACATTTCAATTACCACATCATCTATACCTGAAGCTTTGCCATCTTTCAAATGAGATAAAGCATTATGTATCTCTTCATCTGTTATAGTGGAGTCCTATATATACTCTTCCACGTTGTTTACCACATTAGCACAGTTGGGTTCTAAATCTACTTCGTCGTCTACGTTCGATGAGGAGACATTCTGATCACATAAAATATCAGCATTGAACACATTGCTAAAATGGTTAAACCAAACATCACCACTTATATAATTTTGTTTACTACACAGCTTAGATATACCTCGGAGAAGTTTCCAAAACTTTTTTTGATTGGATATAACTGCTGTCAACGCCTTCGCAGTCTTTGTCTTAATTTCAAATTTTGACTTTCGGCAGACAAATTTATTTCTATTCCTCAAAGTACAGTATTGTTTTCTAGTAATCGGTAGGTATGTGGTTCTCAAGTATGAACGATGTAATCCAGGATATATTAAGTACATATACATATAAAGAATAATAATTTTCAAAGAAATATTTAGTCTAAAATTCATTTCAGTGAGGTATGGATTAATGGGTTAACACCATTGAGCAGTAATACCGTTGTTGTGAACGTCTTAATATATATGGAAGCGTTGCAAGAGACTTCGCTTGGGGACAACCCTCCATTTACACACGCACGCAGGCACGCACGCACATGGACAGACTGACAGACAGACAGACAAGCGCGCAATATAATAGCAATAGCAATATCACGGCGGGGGACACCAGAAATGGCCTTCACACCTCCTTCACTTGCTGCGTTGGGTAGACATTAGATGATGCTTTTAGAAGTTTATTTGAATCAAAATAGCAATTATGCTTCGCCTGTTTTTAATTTAAGACGAATCAGTTACAAATTAGTTATTGTATGTATTATTGTAGGTTGTTTTTTATATACGCTCCATGTTTAGTATAACATTTATACATGAATATGCACCATCTGAGTATCATGGAGTGTGACAAAATCGTAGATTGTGAAAAACCCCTTAGCGTATTCAAACCGCTTATCACAACACACACATAAAAGTCATGTGCCCGTCAAACGACAGCTGTAATACCTCGTACCCTGTAATAACTTTCAGTTATTTATTCTGCACAGAAACTAAAGTCACTCAGATGCCTTTGAAACGATTTTCGCACCATTAGCTATCGAGGGCTTCTAAAAACCATGACTGTCACGGCGTTCGGTCCTCGTACATTCAAATTTGTTAGCGAGCAGCTGGAGGTAAGTTGTGTGTTTTGTGAATCAATCCATCAGACAGAGAGGTTTTCCATTATAAAGATGTGTATACTTTAACTACCTGAAGATTCGCCGGTTGGTTTGTCTAAATCCGTGCAATTTGATTTGGTAAATGTTATAATGTCGTTTTAATCATTTAGCGTTCCGTGATTCGCGTCTGTGCTTGTCAGAGGGGATAACAATGGTGGCGTTGTAGATAGTTTGTCACACTGTCTGGCCTTGCTTATTCACGTATACATCTGTATATATACATTGCACATCTATCGGGTGGTTCGTGACTTGGTTCACTGAGTGTAATCGTGCCCAGTTTATCAGCCTGGGTCATACAGCTGGGGTAGTCACTCAAACATGATAAACGTGAGGAGCATTTCCATTTATGTATGAAGCAATTCTACACAGTTCCCAGCACTTGAACAGTCAACACAGGTGGGTTTTTTTATTGTTGTGTGAAATTTGTTTGTTTGTTGTTTATCGCCGCATTCAGCAATATTCAAGCTTTTTGACGCGATTCTGGATGGACAAATTGGGATACTTTGACTTTTGTGAACCTAGTCAGTCAGCCCGACCACCCGATCCCGTTTGTCGCCTCTAAGGACAAGCATGGATTGTTGAGGACTATTTCTGACCCGAGTTTGTTGTTGTGTGTGTATGTGTGTGTGCGTGCGCGCGTGTGTGTGCGTGTGTGGTGCGCGTGTGTGTGAGCTTGTGCGTGTGTATGAGCTTGTGCGTGTGCGTGTGTGTGTGAGAGAGAGAGTATATTTTGGCCCATAGTGCATCATGTTCATATTAAGATGTCCATGTTGCAATGAACGCACCATTGTAAATGCTGTACAAGAAAAAAACCATGATACAAATGAATCTTCACTTGCGAAATAAAATAAACGATAATAGTGCTTAAATAGTTATAGAAAATGAATTTATATTTTTCCTGGAATGCAAAACTGTTCATGCTGTGAAATACATATCTTCATAATCAATATCGTGCCATCCCAACGCATAAAACATTATTGAATTATTGTCATCATCATGTAAATTTACAAACGTAGTTTTTGTAAAAAAATGCAGATTTTGCTTCCTCGTGTCACTTGGTAATGCAGCAGTAGCATCAAAGTATTAACATCCCTTGTTATGAACCATAATATGATGCGTATTTTCAATAGTGCAATCAACCATATATATGTCATGAATTTTCAAATGCACTACTTTATTTATGGAATTGTGTATGTATGTTTAATAGGCCAATGGCCTGGAACTTCATGAATAAATCCAATCTCAGAGTATAAATAGGAGATTATCATCATCAATCTGTAGAAGGATGGAAGCTTTTTATTAGAGGGCCTAATCACAAAGTACTGGGGTGAATATGTCATTCTTACATTTCTGTATGCCGCACAACTCATTTAGACATGATCTTTGTCTTCTGTAACATGGTTGCAGAATGAGCATGCTGGTGATGTGCAATTCATGACAATTACATATAAGTTTTGTAAATATTCAGTGTACGTTTAATGTTTCTATCGCTTCCAGATATCTATCTGGCGAGCTTTAAAGCTTAAAATCTGAAAAATACGTACAGAATTTCGAGTCTGCCATATCGTTGTATCCCTCTTGTGAATACATGTCTTTACATCTCTGTTTAAACTGCCATAAGAAAAGATCATTGTTTCAGACTTTGTTGTTGCTTTTGTTGTTACTGTTTATGTTTAACGTCGCATTGCATTTCAGCTGTATGACGTACGGTGGCCTGTTAAAGCAGTGACTGATATAATGAGCAACGATTCACCCCGTCAGGTACGTTGATTCGCTATCATACAAGCCTGAACACCCTATCCACCTTTTATTGTAACCATGTGCCATACTCCTCAATGAAAGTTACTTCCCTAATGCTAATAATTATATTTACAACTGTAGTCTGACACGTCAATTGTTCACACTGTCCAAAAGTGCTAACACCGAGCTACACGGAAATTGATCAACGTTTTTCGTATAGCGACATGCTGTAGGTCAAGCGCTATCTAGTCAAATCCACCCAGAACTGTTCGGAGAATAGGAAGATTCCCTACCACTGCAGCTTTCTGCATTACCCAAATTGCCAAAAGGGCTGTATTCCTGGTAGAAACCCCGGGTACTCTCCCAATGTCAGTCAACAGATTGGGAGGTACCAAACCTAAGGCACCGAGAATAATGGGGAGTCGGACAACTTGGTACAGTAACTTTTTTTTATGCAAGCGTGACATTTCGAAAGCGAGGTCCGCATATTTGCCATGTTTTTCCTCAACCTTTGCAATCATATTAGTGTCAAGGGGGGCAGAAAATTCAAAGATATAAAGATCAGGTTTGTTGGCCTGGATACGTCTGAGGCTGTATACGGACCTATTCCAAACAATTTTGTGTTTATTATTTTCCATGACGCCCTCTACATATTCCGGGTCGTACCATGGATGGACCTCTGTGTCATAACCACAAGCATGGCGAAGACGGTAATAAAATGATCGATCTACACCATCGTGTCGTTTAAGATACTGTGTTTGTGCCAAAGCTGGCCATCCACTGACAGTGTGTTAGACAGTCTCATATAATTCATTACATAATCTACATTTCATATTTACATTTTGATGCAAAATCGCACACTGACGGTTTCGAGCGGGAAGTGACTGATCCTGGGCAGCAAACAGAAAGCCTTCTGTTTCACTTTTCAGGCCAGACGACTTCATCCAAGCGAAGGACTCTGCAGGATCTCAACACACTGCACATAAACTCGACGCAGCGGTCGTTCAGATAGCCTCTCCGATTTGATATGACACTTCGCTTGGTTTACACTCATTTCTGTACCGTCCAGCAGTACAAAACCATCAACAAACTCAACACCGACATTGAGATTATGTCCAAACATCCTTGGCTCGTTTTAGAAAACTGTGGAATGCCTTGTTTTCATCATGAGTCTTGACATGCTTCACAAGAGGATCATCAGACAAATAAATGTGTGCAAAAGTGCACACAACAATTTTATCATGAAGAGCCTCCACATTAATCAAACCGAGTCCTGCCATAATGCTTGGTAAATATTAGCGATTGAGGGAAGAGCGAGGGTGAAGGGATCTATTGTCTGACATGATTCTTCGTGTGAGGGTGTCAATACCCTAAATTTCTTGTTTCGTCCAATCAACAACACCAATACGAAAGGACGGCCACAGCATACGTATTTGTGGCTTTGACTTTATTGTGAGCGTTCAGCTCTTAACTCCAGAATTTCTTTAGTCTACACTTGTACTCTGCCCGAAGTTTGCCCTTGACATGGGCATTCGGGAGTTTGTCCCTAATCTGCATCCTTAAGTACGTATAGGCCTGACCTTCCACAAGATGGTCAATAATTCCTCCTCCAAGTAAAGTGACTGATCCTCCCATTTCTACCTTGCCAAGTTTCAAATGAAGAGTGTTGCATTTGTCGAGTCCAAAGGATATGCCGATGTTATTAGAAAAGGACTCGACAAGCAGAATCTGCTTTTTGAGTGTAGATCCTCCATTGGTAATAAGTTCAAGGTCATCCATGTAAAGGAGGTGAGTAAGGGGTGTTGGGGATCTGTGCTTAGGAGGTCCCGGGTGATAACCTTCCTCTTTGCTGAGCAAAAAGTTTAAAGGATTTTGTGACAAACAGGAAAGCAAAGGGCTAAAAAAATCGCCCTGAAATATTCCTCCTCTGACAGAAATGGGTTCCGAAGTCACCACCTGCCTCTGCGAATACATTTCAAGTTGTGTTGACCAGCAATTCATTAAAGACTTGAGTAACACAAATAGTCGCTCGGGGAAGTCAATACATTCCAGTGACCTCAAAATCCATTCGTGAGGTACAGAATCATAAGCTTTTTCTGTAGTCTATCCAACACATTGAGAGGTTACGGTGGTAAGTTTTAGCCTCTTCAAGGATCATTTTCTGAACTAGTAGTTAATCCTTACAACCCCAACATCCCTTTCTCGCTCCTTTCTTCTCCATGTAAATAATGTCATTGGATACGCATTATTATTATTATTATTATTATTATTATTATTATTATTAAAGATGGATAGGGAGGGAATATACTCCTGGGTTGTGCTGGGTGCTTCCTTCACCACTATGCTGATTGGCCCCAGTCTCACCTACGCTACTGGCGTATTCCACGTCGCCATGTTGAAAGAGTTTAACGAGGACTTGGTTCTTACTACCTGGGTAGGATCGACCTTTGGCTGCATGTTCGCCCTGGCAGGTACGAGCTAGAATACTACATACATAATTATGTGTCTATTGAAATCCTGGTGGACCACGTATGCGTGTCTTTGTTGTTTAACGCGTGGCGGACCATGGCAATAGTCTCTTTAATACAATGTATACTATGATGCTACACTGTCAATGGATTGCAGGTACATGTAATGCTAGATAAATACATGCAATATATTCCTGCTATAATAATGTTGTCAATAAATATTCTTATTGACATGAGTATGTGATGATCAACTTGAATCGTGTCTCTTGTCTTGTACAAATGTACATGTAAACATTTACGTACTTGCATATACATATGTAGTCGTTTGATGAATACCACTTGGACACTGGTTATATCACAGTTGATGTATGTACATGACTATCTACTTGGGTAAAAACCACATTCATGTACATGTATGGAGGGACGTCCTGATTAGTGTGGCCACAATTTAACGTTGATATAACAATATGAAGTGCTCCTACGAAACTGATCATAAAATACGCATTTGCATTAGACACATGTGCATCAATTCCAATGTTATCTAAATAAGAACCAACTGTAACATATGGATCTTTCTGTGCGTAACATATGCTCAGTCATTGTGTTATAAAGTAAACTACGTTTATAACGAACGCGCTTATAACGAACTGACGGATATAACGAACTTATTTGTTTTGTCCCGACCATTTGCTGTACATATGCTTTATATACTTATAACGAACTACGGTTATAACGAACTAAAATTAGTGGTCCCTTTGAGTTCGTTATAACCGTAGTTTACTGTAACAGTAGAACGTTCACATTCATCACGTTTTACACGTACTGCACAGGGTATTACAATCAGACAGACGGTCAGTAAGACAGCTAATTATCTTGTATTAGTTTGTAATTAATGTGTTATGTACATCAATTGTCGTCAGTGTATCTTTGTGTTTTTCTCCCGATATTAAACAGCGCATTCAAGTAATGCTTAGATGAAAGCGTAGGGTGGTATGTGAAGCATTATTTTGCGCAAAAAATCGGTTTGATGTCCCATATATGTACAATGTGAACCCTGAACTCTGGTGCATCTACATGTATACGTATCCTGTTGATATTTTGCTGGACTATTAAATAACGCAGTATATGTCCATATTATGTTCAGAATGATCAGTTCAGTGTGGAAGATGTGGCAGTGTGGCAACACAATGTACATGTATAATGTGTACAACTCTCAAGCGAAAGTAACTGTATGGTAATTAATGTTTAATGTGTATGAACACATTGTAAGTTTATGATATTAAATAACCAGGTTTAATCGTTCTGGCGTTTGGTATGTACGTTTTGTGTATACACGATATACATCACTGTATCTCAGAACGCAGAACTGATAACATCCAAACATGCAATTAGTCCTCAGAAAATTGTTACATATCATTTTCTTTACATTCCTGCTTGAACCAAGAGCCAACTTGTACGCTGTAATCGGTGCAACCGTATGTCCATATGTATAGTCTCAGGCTGCTGACGTCACATCAGACCCGTGAAGATTCCGGGGTAGAATAGGTCTTCAGCAACCCATTCTTGCCGTAAAAGGTGACTATGCTTGTCGTAAAAGGCGACTAACGGGATCGGGTGGTCAGGCTCGCTGACTTGGTTGATGCATGTCGTCGATCCCAATTGCGTGGATCGGTGGTCATGACATTAATCACTGGATTGTCTGGTCCAGACTCGATTTTTTAAAGACCGCCGTCATATAGCTGGAATATTGCTGAGTGCGGCGTCAACAACAAACCAACCAACGTCACATCATCTCCTATCAAGTCAGCTCTATATTTCAAACATTATTTAATTCCCGAAGACATTTTGAATGAAAGGAATTAATATGAAATTCGTTGGATAATCATTTTAAACAAACCTACGTGAAATTTGCCAAATTAAAAACAATATACACCGGTTCTACAATTTGTTCCACCAGACATGGACCATTCAACTCGTTCGCGAAGGTCGAAGGTCGTATACGACGTTAAAGTGAATACATTTTTATAGTGTACATGTATATAAATATAACTCTTAACTGCATAATACATATTCATGATAATTAATTAGTCTCGTTACTAATTCGAAGGAGCACATTCTAGATCTACAAGATGACAGGCACAATCCTTCTTTTAACAATGCATTATCATTTGTTCTCGTTCAATCTGTTGTACTTAACATTTAAAGTCATCTTACAGATTCAAGGAGTACTGTAAGTGTGTGGTATTATGAATGAAATTAGAATATGAATAGTGAAAAACAGTCTCCATATGAGATGTACACGTATAACTTGTCTTCCACCACCACGCTTGTGCCGACGCCCGGGGGGTCATAAATCTAATTGGTCCCCTAAAAGGGGCAATTAGTTTCGCACATACTCCGCAGTAGCTCCGCGGAGTATTTGCATAGCTACGCAGAACTTTTACAAACATTCTGCGTAGTTTCCGCGTAGCTACGCAAAAGTTTTACAAACACAAACCTTTGCGAAATAAAGTAAAAAACCTTTGCGTTGTTGTGTATTTTGTCGTAGCTCCGCGGAGTATTTGCGTAGCTACGCAGAACTTTTACAAACATTCTGCGTAGTTTCCGCGTAGCTACGCAAAAGTTTTACAAACACAAACCTTTGCGAAATAAAGTAAAAAACTTTTGCGTTGTTGTGTATTTGTCGTAGCTCCGCGGAGTATTTGCGTAGCTACACAGAACTTTTACAAACATTCTGCGTAGTTGCCGCGTAGCTACGCAAAAGTTTTACGAACACAAACCTTTGCGAAATAAAGGAAAAAACTTTTGCGTTGTTGTGTATTTTGTCACCCGGAATCCCCATGATACTTTGCCGGAAGAAATGCATTGCTAAAAGCATCGGGGAACTGTTCAGCTGAGAGTGAAATACTTAGAGCGATAATAATTTTTATTATGTGAGGTATCGCCCCCACACAAAAAACCCTAAAAATATATGTTCTCACGCCATACCAATATATTGTTTGAAAATCATATATGACACACAGTGTCTGGCATTATAAAGTATTACATGCGAATAAACCAAACAATTTCTTCGTCTTATACTCTACAGGTCCAATTGCCAGCTTAATAATCAACGTGTCTGACTGTAGAACGTGTGTGGTGATGTCTGGTGTCTTGATGATGACTGGGTTAACGACAAGTTTTCTGGTGACTGACATCAGATTGCTTTTTCTGACCGTGTCCTTAGTTGCAGGTAGGTATTGAGTGTAATCTACGCCCTGTGTCTACGTTGTCAGTTGCAGGTAGGTATTAGGTGTAATCTACGTCCGTTGTCTACGTTGTCAGTTGCAGGTAGGTATTGAGTGTAATCTACGCCCTGTGTCTACGTTGTCAGTTGCAGGTAGGTATTAGGTGTAATCTAGTCTGTTGTCTACGTTGTCAGTTGCAGGTAGGTATTGAGTGTAATCTACGTCCGTTGTCTACGTTGTCAGTTGCAGGTAGGTTTTAGATGTAATCTACGTCCGTTGTCAGTTGCAGGTAGGTATTGAGTGTAATCTACGCCCTGTGTCTACGTTGTCAGTTGCAGGTAGGTATTGAGTGTAATCTACGTCCGTTGTCTACGTTGTCAGTTGCAGGTAGGTATTAGGTGTAATCTACGTCCGTTGTCAGTTGCAGGTAGGTATTGAGTGTAATCTACGCCCTGTGTCTACGTTGTCAGTTGCAGGTAGGTATTAAGTGTAATCTACGTCCGTTGTCTACGTTGTCAGTTGCAGGTAGGTATTGAGTGTAATCTACGTCCGTTGTCTACGTTGTCAGTTGCAGGTAGGTATTGAGTGTAATCTACGTCCGTTGTCTACGTTGTCAGTTGCAGGTAGGTATTAGGTGTAATCTACGTCCGTTGTCTATGTTGTCAGTTGCAGGTAGGTATTAGGTGTAATCTACGTCCGTTGTCAGTTGCAGGTAGGTATTGAGTGTAATCTACGCCCTGTGTCTACGTTGTCAGTTGCAGGTAGGTATTAAGTGTAATCTGGTCTGTTGTCTACGTTGTCAGTTGCAGGTAGGTATTGAGTGTAATCTACGTCCGTTGTCTACGTTGTCAGCTGCAGGTAGGTTTTAGGTGTAATCTACGTCCGTTGTCAGTTGCAGGTAGGTATTGAGTGTAATCTACGCCCTGTGACTACGTTGTCAGTTGCAAGTAGGTATTAAGTGTAATCTACGTCCGTTGTCTACGTTGTCAGTTGCAGGTAGGTATTGAGTGTAATCTACGTCCGTTGTCTACGTTGTCAGTTGCAGGTAGGTATTGAGTGTAATCTACGCCCTGTGTCTACGTTGTCAGTTGCAGGTAGGTATTAGGTGTAATCTAGTCTGTTGTCTACGTTGTCAGTTGCAGGTAGGTATTGAGTGTAATCTACGTCCGTTGTCTACGTTGTCAGTTGCAGGTAGGTTTTAGATGTAATCTACGTCCGTTGTCAGTTGCAGGTAGGTATTGAGTGTAATCTACGCCCTGTGACTACGTTGTCAGTTGCAAGTAGGTATTAAGTGTAATCTACGTCCGTTGTCTACGTTGTCAGTTGCAGGTAGGTATTGAGTGTAATCTACGTCCGTTGTCTACGTTGTCAGTTGCAGGTAGGTATTGAGTGTAATCTACGCCCTGTGTCTACGTTGTCAGTTGCAGGTAGGTATTAGGTGTAATCTACGCCCTGTGTCTACGTTGTCAGTTGCAGGTAGGTATTAGGTGTAATCTACGTCCGTTGTCTACGTTCAACTTGTCAGTTGCAGGTAGGTATTGAGTGTAATCTACGCCCTGTGTCTACGTTGTCAGTTGCAGGTAGGTATTAGGTGTAATCTACGCCCTGTGTCTACGTTGTCAGTTGCAGGTAGGTATTAGGTGTAATCTACGTCCGTTGTCTACGTTCAACTTGTCAGTTGCAGGTAGGTATTGAGTGTAATCTACGTCCTGTGTCTACGTTGTCAGTTGCAGGTAGGTATTGAGTGTAATCTACGCCCTGTGTCTACGTTGTCAGTTGCAGGTAGGTATTGAGTGTAATCTACGTCCGTTGTCTACGTTGTCAGTTGCAGGTAGGTATTAGGTGTAATCTACGTCCGTTGTCAGTTGCAGGTAGGTATTGAGTGTAATCTACGCCCTGTGTCTACGTTGTCAGTTGCAGGTAGGTATTAAGTGTAATCTACGTCCGTTGTCTACGTTGTCAGTTGCAGGTAGGTATTGAGTGTAATCTACGTCCGTTGTCTACGTTGTCAGTTGCAGGTAGGTATTAGGTGTAATCTACGTCCGTTGTCTACGTTGTCAGTTGCAGGTAGGTATTAGGTGTAATCTACGTCCGTTGTCAGTTGCAGGTAGGTATTGAGTGTAATCTACGCCCTGTGTCTACGTTGTCAGTTGCAGGTAGGTATTAAGTGTAATCTAGTCTGTTGTCTACGTTGTCAGTTGCAGGTAGGTATTGAGTGTAATCTACGTCCGTTGTCTACGTTGTCAGTTGCAGGTAGGTTTTAGGTGTAATCTACGTCCGTTGTCAGTTGCAGGTAGGTATTGAGTGTAATCTACGCCCTGTGACTACGTTGTCAGTTGCAGGTAGGTATTAAGTGTAATCTACGTCCGTTGTCTACGTTGTCAGTTGCAGGTAGGTATTGAGTGTAATCTACGTCCGTTGTCTACGTTGTCAGTTGCAGGTAGGTATTGAGTTTAATCTACGTCCGTTGTCTATGTTGTCAGTTGCAGGTAGGTATTAGGTGTAATCTACGTCCGTTGTCAGTTGCAGGTAGGTATTGAGTGTAATCTACGCCCTGTGTCTACGTTGTCAGTTGCAGGTAGGTATTAAGTGTAATCTACGTCCGTTGTCTATGTTGTCAGTTGCAGGTAGGTATTAAGTGTAATCTTCGTCCGTTGTCTACGTTATCAGTTGCAGGTAGGTATTGAGTGTAATCTACGCCCTGTGTCTACGTTGTCAGTTGCAGGTAGGTATTATGTGTAATCTACGTCCGTTGTCTACGTTGTCAGTTGCAGGTAGGTATTGAGTGTAATCTACGCCCTGTGTCTACGTTGTCAGTTGCAGGTAGGTATTATGTGTAATCTACGTCCGTTGTCTACGTTGTCAGTTGCAGGTAGGTATTGAGTGTAATCTACGTCCGTTGTCTACGTTGTCAGTTGCAGGTAGGTATTAGGTGTAATCTACGTCCGTTGTCTATGTTGTCAGTTGCAGGTAGGTATTAGGTGTAATCTACGTCCGTTGTCAGTTGCAGGTAGGTATTGAGTGTAATCTACGCCCTGTGTCTACGTTGTCAGTTGCAGGTAGGTATTAAGTGTAATCTACGTCCGTTGTCTACGTTGTCAGTTGCAGGTAGGTATTGAGTGTAATCTACGTCCGTTGTCTACGTTGTCAGTTGCAGGTAGGTTTTTGGTGTAATCTACGTCCGTTGTCAGTTGCAGGTAGGTATTGAGTGTAATCTACGCCCTGTGTCTACGTTGTCAGTTGCAGGTAGGTATTAAGTGTAATCTACGTCCGTTGTCTACGTTGTAGGTAGGTATTGAGTGTAATCTACGCCCTGTGTCTACGTTGTCAGTTGCAAGTAGGTATTAAGTGTAATCTACGCCCTGTGTCTACGTTGTCAGTTGCAGGTAGGTATTAAGTGTAATCTACGCCCTGGGTCTACGTTGTCAGTTGCAGGTAGGTATTAGGTGTAATCTACGTCCGTTGTCTACGTTGTCAGTTGCAGGTAGCTATTGAGTGTAATCTACGTCCGTTGTCTACGTTGTCAGTTGCAGGTAGGTATTAGGTGTAATCTACGCCCTGTGTCTACGTTGTCAGTTGCAGGTAGGTATTAAGTGTAATCTACGTCCGTTGTCTACGTTGTAAGTTGCAGGTAGGTGCCCAGTGTCATTGTGAAGTGTCATATTAACTGTGTAATCTACGTCCGTTGTCTACGTTGTAAGTTGCAGGTAGGTGCCCAGTGTCATTGTGTAGTGTCATATTAACTATGTAATCTACGCCCTGTGTCTACGTTGTAAGTTGCAGGTAGGTGCCCAGTGTCATTGTGTAGTGTCATTTTAACTGTGTAATCTACGCCCTATGTCTACGTTGTCAGTTGCAGGTAGGTGCCCAGTGTCATTGTGTAGTGTCATACTAACTATGTAATCTACGCCCTGTGTCTACGTTTTAAGTTGCAGGTAGGTGCCCAGTGTCATTGTATAGTGTCATATCAACTGTGTAATCTACGCCCTATTTCTACGTTGTCAGTTGCAGGTAGGTGCCCAGTGTCCTTGTGTAGTGTCATATTAACTGTGTAAGCTACGTCCTGTGTCTACGTTGTCAGTAGCAGGTAGGTATTAAGTGTAATCTACGTCCGTTGTCTACGTTGTAAGTTGCAGGTTGGTGCCCAGTGTCATTGTGTAGTGTCATATTAACTGTGTAATCTACGCCCTATGTCTACGTTGTCAGTTGCAGGTAGGTCCCCAGTGTCATTGTGTAGTGTCATAGTAACTGTGTAATCTACGCCCTATGTCTACGTTGTCAGCTGCAGGTAGGTGCCCAGTGTCATTGTGTAGTGTCATACTAACTGTGTAATCTACGCCCTGTGTCTACATTGTCAGTAGCAGGTAGGTGCCCAGTGGCATCGTGTAGTGTCATATGTACTGCGTATTATACGTGCAGTGTGTACGTTGTCAGTTGCAGGTAGGTATCTGGTGTCATATTTACTACATAAATCTACGTCCGAAATACCATAAAGACCTCTAGTGTTGACGATAAATATGTTTACTTGTGCTGCAAAGTGAATTAGTTTTCAAAATCAACAACACCTTTTTCTATTTTCTGTAAACTAGTTTTATAGTGTATGGCCACTGTCCGGCTATTAACATGTGAGCTGTCTACAATTGAGAAACCAATTTTGAACTGGAAAGTCGGATGTGTAGTGACACGGACCACATTGTATTATTTCTGCATAACAGGCTGAATCATGGTGCACATAGGGATCGAACTCGAGATAATAACACATCGGGAAATAATAACATTTATTGAATCATACATAATGTTTCATGCCTTTGGCCAACAAAACAATATGATCCTAACAATGGTTCGTTAATACAAATACGTGAATGGTATTATCTGGATTGAGGAGATTTAACAAAAAAGTAACGCTGAGGGACGTGCACCATTTGAATATGCGAAAAATGCTTCTTTGAGTTTTGTCTTTTGTTTTGTTGCACGGTTTAAGACCAAGGGAGGTGTTGGTGACTATTTTAGAAACTGAAAATATATAAATTGGTAGTGAAACAGAATTCCAAGGGGGAAGTATACTGTATGAAATATATGGAACTACTTGTCGTTGTCTTGTTCACCAGCGCAGGAATGTAACAGGCACAATGGAGAAGTATGTTCTGTAATGACTTCACTATCTTAGTACAACTACGTTAAATTGTTACAGTACACCAGGTAATGTTTGGCAAACCCTGTCTATTCGAGAAATAAATTTGATCATAAGAAAGATGCTTGTGCTTTTGGGTGAACTTCTTTGGATTTTGATTGTGGTCGTATTGAGATCACACTATTAATGAAGTTCAAATACAGAGTGGAGTATCAAATTATTAAATTTAATTAAACTTGTGCAAGAAAGGACTTCACTTCACATGTCACAATCCTTTTCAAACACCTGTTTCAGGTTTGGGCATGGGACTGGCAGGAACTGGAGCAATAGTTGTTCTTGGATACTACTTTCCGAAAAATGCTGCCATCGCTTCAAGTATTTGCCTCACCGGAGCAGGATTAGGAATATTTATCCATCCAACGCTGGTTCAGTTTCTTCTTGAGAAATACGGATTTCATGGAGCCTATCTTATAACAGGAGGAATAACATTTCACGCCTGTGCAGCCGGCATGCTGATGCGTCCTGCTGTAACAGAGCGGTGGAGACAACAACACATTTTGGGTGGTCAAACTCTAAGACAAAAGATTACGCTTTCGATGTGTGGAACCTCGACGATGATTGTCAGTGTCATTCAAAACGTATCATTCATACTTTTTGTGGCCAGCATTTTGTGTTTTTCTCTTGGTGTGTCAACGCAATACCAATTTCTACCCGAATTTTTCATATCACAAGGGTCTACGTTAGAAAAAGCATCGCTTGTTGTCTCGGTTTCCGGAATAGGAAGTATTCTCTCGCGAATTCTCGTTGGATTTGCGGCGAGTGAGGAGAAGATTGGAAGTGCCACACTATTTTTCTCCATCAATGGGATCATGGCTATTTTCACGTTCTTTATACCACTGTTCAAATCATCAACTTATGCACGAATAGCATATGGATTTATTCTCGGATTATATACGGGAGGTGTGTGGGTTCTTATGGCCACTTTGACTCTGGACATTCTTGATCTTCACAACTTTGCGACAGGCGTGGGTATAGGAAGGTTTTTTTGTGGCGCTGGCTTCTTGGTTGGTCCTCCCATTGCTGGTACGTTTTGTTTGTTTGTTTGTTTGTTTGTTTGTTGTTTAACGCCGCACTCAGAAATATTCCAGCAATATGACGGCGGTCTGTAAATAATCGAGTCTGGACCAGACAATCAAGTTATTGACATATGAGCATCGATCCACGCAGTTCGGTGCTGGAACATTACAACATAGAGGAAGAACGTCCAAACCATCGTTATGTACTTATATCAATACCAGCAAATCTCTTCATCAGGAAATCTTAGCAATTCTAACATCTAAGAGATGTTCACCCTTTACAAAGACGTATGTTTTTAAGTTGTATAACCAAAGGACTGTTTTAAATTGAGTCCCACGGCAGTGTAGCCCACCTGGATATACCAACAAAACAAACACAGTGTTATATATAAGTTTCTATTCCAATATGTTATGCAAAAATACTGAGGAAGAACACTAAGCGCTAGTGATATGAACCAAATATGATGTCGCCATGAGGAAAATATACATGCCAACGTTCAGCTTACCCAGTTTAGCAATTTCAGAGAAAACTAGTTTGAAAAACGGACCAGAGACTCTGGAATATGTTCAGGTGTGTGTCATCAGTGGTGGGAACTTGTATGTGAAATTTCAGCTTCATTGGTCCAGCGGTTTCTGAAAGGCACCGAACAAACAGGCAATGACATGAGCTCACTTGACTTTCAGTCAGGTGAGCTGAAGGAATTGCGTCAAAAAATATGTTTTAGGTTTCCTTACTCATTTATGCACATACGAGGGGCGTTCAATAAGTTTTGCAACTTCAATATAAGACCAAGTCGCAGAATATCTTTTGCACTTTTATTTTTCAATATAATCTCCATTCACCTCAATACACTTATTCCACTTGTCCTTCACGCTTTTAATACCACTTTTCTAGAAATCCGCAGATTGGCCCTCTAACCACACCTCTGTGGCAGCCTTTATGTCCTCGTCATCCTGGGCAGATTTCATTTGCCGGAACAGGAAATAGTCCCTGGGGGCTACCACCCACCCACCCACCCTACAGCCCAGTGACTTAAAGTCAGGTATTAAAAGCTTGAAGGACAAATTGAATAAGTGTATTGAGGTGAATGGAGATTATGTTGAAAAATAAAAGTGCAAAAGATATTCTGTGACTTGCTCCAATATTGAAGTTGCAAAACTTACTGAACGCCCCTCGTACATTTATCTAGACGTTACCTTTGGACTGTGTGTTGGTTATAAATTATTCATCTATTATCAAATTTAATTAACTAATATATTTCCCAATAAATCATAATTAGGGCGAATCTAGGGATCGAACACACGATAAGAGAATCCTGACACGCCCAAGGGACGCAACTCTGACGTTTGCAACTGATGTTCATATTGTGTTTAATGATTCTGATTGACGTTTTATTGTAGGGACTCTGGTGGAAAGAAGCGTCACTAACTACAGTGCATTTCTGTTTTCCGGTAGGTCACACATTTTAGTAAGTTCATACCTTTGTTGCACATGTGATGTCCAGAAAGTATTTGTTTAATGTTGTCAAATAATGTTGTCTCTAAACCTACAGAATTAACTATTTTCATGAATGGTACTGGATTCTGCATACTCGTCGAGGTATCAAAATTGTGAATGTTTGACGGTTTGTTGTTTAAGGCCGCACACAGCAATATTCCAGCTATGTGACGGCGGTCTGTAATAGTCGAGTCTGGACCAGCCGATCCCGTTAGTCGCTTCTTACGACATGAATGAATTTCAGAAGACCCGGATTTTCTTGGATATCAGTATACACGACGTGGTTTGTTGCATAACAATAGACAACATCAGATCTTTAAGGGTTTTCAACTACATGTACCAGCAACCGACGAAATAATAGTTGGTGTTTGTAAACGTAACAGGCATTCTGCATTCTCAATTGCTGTTCCAATGTTTCCAAACGACATAGTACCATTGGTTGGTCTGGTCATGTATACCGTAACATTCGAACAATGTGACTGAACAATTTGAATTATAGGACTAAATACATGACTATTTAAACAGAAGCGTGAACTGGAAGACATGCGCTTATATCAGCATTTTGGTTTGAGAGCGTTCTTGTTATATACATAGGAGCTCAGTTATCTTTTCCAACATAAACAGGTTCTAATTTAAAAAAAAAATATATACATACCGAACAGTATTTTTTGCACACCTTAGTCTGCAAGAAAAGGACACACTATCGTTTTCCTACAATGCGAGGCACATAAAACAGGGGCTTGATTATGTTATTTTATTAAAAGAAATCCACCCCCCTTGAAATCAGATGGTTGCTCCATTAGGGTTGACGCCTCTCATTATCTGGACACAGTTAACTGGTTCTCCAGTACAGTTCTGACTTCAGCTACCACTGATAACGTCTTCTCGCTTGTCATTTATATGAATATAATTTCTTCTTCAATCTGACATCTGTAATTCAATGCTGGCATGTGCCTTATCAAATCGTAATGTCTCAGTACCTCAAGAACCATGACCGTCTTTTATGCTATAATTTTAGAATAAAATTAGGTTTATGTTCCACGGTTCAATGGAATGATCACGTTCTCTTTGCGCTCTTTCACAACAGAAAATACTTCAGATTTTGGTTGATCAACCTAGTCAACTCACACGATCATTTTCCACAATACGTGTTATCTTTCTTGACTTTCAAAATATCTTCATGCTTATTTACATTCTGTGGTTCATTCTGTAGAATGTTCCTTTCACAAATTCACTGTGCGTATGCCTGTCTGAAACGATCAGATATTTCAAACAATGCAGGCCTAGTTATTTACTGAAATGTTTTCCCGAGATATGAGACCAAAATTAAATAGATATTTCTCTGAGAGTTTGCTAGCTTTTACTCGAGGGTTCTACATAGGTTTCACATTACTGTTGGTAGGTCAGGCAGACGAGGGAACCATATGATTTCTGATTATATGCCAGATCTTATAGGGTGTATTTCATATTTCTTCTCTTCATCTTTAATGCACTGAGGACGATCTTTAACTCATTCCGATGTCTGTACCAGAGCAGTTTCGTTGAGAATGTCAGCACGATCTTCGATTTTGACATGATACCACCAGTGGTCGCAAAGAAAATGTTCAGTAAAATCAGCTTCCTGGAGATGGGCATTAAGCTGGCATGCAGTGATGTAACTAGAATACTGTTCAAAGCGGCGCTAAAACCAAGTAACTCACACCCCATAAATGTAATATGTTATATGTCAGAAATACGTAACCATGGTCTAGGGCTATTAGTGACGCTCATGATGGAGTAAGTGGTACAAAAGTGAACGAGAGTTAATCACATTCCGAGTTGCTGATGGTATTGGAGATTACACTTTTTCAAGCAATGGCCACCTGTGACCATGTACATCAAGTTAATTAACATGGCTGCATATTCATGATTGTTTCCATTGTTCATTTTGACATCAATATATGTGAGGCATGGGTCACATAAGTTTCCGGCATAAGTTATTATGCCGGTACCCTACGGCCAAACTGATGGCTGTATCGCGAACATAATTTAGTCCCTGTATGGATACAAACAAAATGATATTTGTGCATCTTCAATTGACAAGCGTAATGTATATCCTTTCCATTATCATATTATTCATGAGGGAATGAAGATGTGATACGCTGGATAACCGGGAGGATGATATTCTGCAGCACCTCATGTATTTTCAGTGTATTAAATAAAATAATATTAGTGGAATTTTGATCTGGTTCTGGTTTAGTCTGCACTGACTTATAACACTATTTACGGGTAACGACTGTACAGTAATGAAAAGTTCGTTATTTGTTAATCTTATCTTATCAGAATATTACTCAGTAGTATAACTTGACAAGTGTGCAACTGGCAATTGCATTACGGCTAAGGTTTTTCCCGAATCTTTCAGAGCGACATCATCCCATCGAAGGAGTCCAGCTAAACAAAGCCAGATGTGTCAAATATGCAACCAATAATGGCAACCTTTACCGTCTCAGAGCTTGGTCCATAGGGAGCCCTGAACCAGCTTGAGGCCTCAGCTCAGTTACTCTGTTGTTGGGACGATGTCACATAAACCGCCACGAACAATGGCGACGTCATTTCAATTATTTGCGACAATAACAAGGGGACAATTGTTGCAATGCTCAGTGATCATGAGGACTATTGAAATTAATTTCATCTCTATCCCTGCCCTTATGGGTCATATTGATCTGACGGTTTGGATAAAGTATTTCCAAACTTTCTGTGGAAGGATAATATATTGTATCAGATTTTTTGTCCAAGATGACTTCTCATGTAAAGAATTTCTACCTGTTAATAACTCATTTCATCCAAAATAATTAGATGGATATAATATACAAGACGGAATATATACAGTAAAACTATGATGACGTGAAGGGAGTAGAGATAATATTTCTTCAAACTGATTTTTCTAAAGAAAACGTTCCACTCAAATACGTGTATGTTAAATGTTCTTCATGACTTAATTAGATCTCATCCAAATTGAAGGGACGATAATAAATCATAAGTAAATTATTTTCATTTTGGACAAATAAAATGTTTTAACTATTTTGCAGAAGATGCTAATTTATGGTGAAGAGAACCTCGAGCATTTGCACGGACGAGGTCGACTAGCTCGTTTGTTCTGCTAGCTCCTCATTCACTATTGTGTTTTAACTAGTCTCACTCTGAATGATTAAAAACGCACTATTGTTCCCGAATCGAGGTCAGCGTTCCGCGCAGGTGTCCCTCCTCTCGAGTTACTGAGCATGCGTCTTCATTTTCAGTTTATTCATTTTCATTATTTGATAATTATTTGTTTCAGGACTAAAATTCCATTGCGTTTGAACAATGCATCTTTTCTTATTGGTCTAGTGGTAGAGCGTCCGCCCAGAGGGCGGAAGGTCCGGGGTTTGATCCCCTGCCGCGTCAGATCAAAAGACGTCAAAAGATGGTACTTGTTGTTATCCTGTGTCTGTGTGGGGTATTCATGTTAAACTGCGGCATGGTATCTCAGTGGGCTAGCACTATACAACGGGCATACGTCCGGACTGCTTAAAGCATGCATCATATTCTTTAGGCTGTTAGCTATCTGCTGGGCATGGTATGGGTATGGTTTTACGCCGCCTTTTAGCAATATTCCATCAATATCAAGGAGGGGGACACCAGAAATGGGTTTCACACATTGTACCCATGTCGGGAATCGAACCCGGGTCTTCGGCATGACGAGCGAACGCTTTAACCACTAGGCTACCCGACCGCCCCTTCGTCATCTGGGTATGTGTAGGGAGACATATAAATATGCATATAGCACATGTTGACCCATCTCTTTAACTTCTTTGCGTTTACCTTGTACGAGACACTGCTGAAGAGTGGATCTGTTCGGTTGTTTCAGGTGCGATGTTCTTCTCGGCCACTGTGTTTGGGTTTCTATCAACTCTAAAGAGGAGGGCTCGGGACCCCTCCAAGGACACACGACAGGACACAGGACATGTTTCTGAAGCTTTAGTTACAGCGAGTGAGTGAGTGAGCCTGGGTTGTGTGCTGCTTTAACAGTACAGTGATTGCGAAGAATATTTGCTCTTCTGGCAAGCGGCAATTTTTTTAAAGTTTGGGCCACCGATCCAAACGAGAGAGCCAAATCTAAATAATGAAATTAAGAGACACGAACCACAGTTTACTATTCTTTAGTTACCAAGTCTCATTTATGTAATACTTAAGACATCTGAGATATATCAATATTAGGTTTCTCTCACATTTGACGAGTCAATGACACAATGAGTATGAATGCAATTTCCGAATATTATATGAGAGGAACTTATGTCGTAAAACTTACACTATTCAGTCACTATCAATCCATGATGATGATATGGTTACTACCAGATATAGATGTCATGTAAACAGTCTACTGCAGTCCATAGCCTGGTTAGGTTCAAGTTTCAAGGATTCAAGGATGTTATACTTGCCTTTTTACGGACATCTGGTAGCATCACTATTTGATAATGATACAGAAGCACATGCTCATAATATAGTCGGAATCGTACAATTGACTCTGCTTTTAGCCGAGATGACGTATGATTATGGAAATGTTTTTATGTTTTTTTGGACAATCCAGGATATGTACTTGGGTAACACCCGGTTGAGGTAATTCTTCTTAGATGACATTATTGTTACAATACCGTGACGTTGTAATTGCGTTAGGGCGTCCCTGCTACAGTTACCTAAACGTATTGCCATTTCGTGTCGTCATGGTCACTTTGAACCATGCCTCTGCAACCCGCCTGGTCGGAAGAGGGTAACCTGAGTCAAGGAGTGACAGAAACACCTTAACAAGTCCTCATCAAGGTCCATGTACCGGCATGCTCACATACAAGAAAGAAACGCAACACAAGGCTTTATACTCACATATTTGTACTTACTTCACTTACTCTTCAGTCCATCTATCAATACACGACAGGATCAGACCGATGAGGCTGGTCACTGAGTGGGGAACTTTGGACGACCGGGGTTCGACTCTATCGACTGTAGGACCGCGCACTGCGCTGCTAATATATCATTTTATTTATAATCATTTTGAAGTGTTCTGACCTGTCTTTGTCACATGTCCTCATAGATCATTTAAGTCCAATATCATACCATGTGCCTTGTTTGTCAACTATGGAATCTACTAACCGATGAAAGATCTCTATTGATTGAACTGCTACAACACCGAAACCATCCCGAAAATATCCTGAAAATGTCATCGCCATATTCATTTGTGTGCGCCAACTCGGCGGCTTTCTGACTCCCTCGTGATAAAGCAATAACCAACAATTTAAAGGTTGACTTTTTTATAATTTTCTAAGTTCATGGGGATTCATGTTTACCTTAAAACAGTAGTTCGTGGCCTCATTCATGTACAGCCTCCGACTATCGTCCTCCAACACACAAGGTATTTATTGTAATGTTACTCAGAATACGTTCGCATTCTAATAAAGATATATATGAATTGTTTGTGTTGTGTATGCCAATATTCCAGACCCGTGAAGATCCGGGTCTTCAGAAAAACCATGCGTGTCGGAAGAGGCGAATGACGGGATCGGGTGGTCAGTCTCAGTGACTTGGTCATCGTTTCCCAATTGCGTAGATTGATGCTCATGATGGTAATCACTAGATTCTCTCGAAACGGCTACGTTGGGGTTTAGTAGTATCAATTGTGGCAGACTGTGAATAGTTTAATTTAATTGTATGTGTGTGTGTGTGTGTGTGTGTGTGTGTGTGTGTGTGTTTGTGTGTTTAACACTGCATGCTGCAGCTATATATAGTCGATGGTGTGAGAACAAAGCCCCAAAACCTCCCTTCGTGGTAATAGGACAATGAAAAAACAATGCGGGATATGTAGCATCGTAAACGGAGGTTAGGTGATTGAGTGAGTTGGGATTAACGCCGCTTTAACAGTATTCCAGTTATGTCACGGCGTGTCAGCTTAATGTGGGAGGAAAGCCCCAAGTGATGCAGGTGTCAGACGTTTACCACTTCGGTGAAACCCACGAGCACGGGTATGGTGCTGGCAAACCTAGAAACATTTTCGGGGCGAACCGGGATTCGAACCCACAATCATAGGTTTCTGGCGTGCCCAAAGGAAGGGAGGTTAGGAATATCTGGAATGGAATACCAAGACCGGTCGTTTATGGAATGTCTGGAATGTGTACCTTTAGATGTTCACAATACACATGACGTAATCTATATGCCCATGCTATGGTTGGTTGGTTGGATTGTTGTTTTACGCCGCACTCAGCAATATTCCAGCTGTATGACGGCCGCCTGCAAATAATCTGGACCAGGCAATCCAGTGATTGATATCATGAGCATCAATCCACTCAATTGGTATCGATGACATGCTTCAACAAGTCAGCGAGCCTGACCACCCGGTCCCGTCAGTCGCCTCTTACGACAAGCATAGTCACCTTTTACGGGAAGTATAGGTGGCTGAAGACCCCTTCAACCCCGGATCTTCACAGGTACCAACATTAAATTCGCGGGGTTAATCTGGATCATGACAGCATCCAAGGACGTTGGTTGGTTGGTTGGTTGGATTGATGTTTAACGCCGCACTCAGCAATATTCCAGCCATATGACGGCGGTCTGTAAATAATCGAGTCTGGACCAGACAATCAAGTGATTAATGTCATCGATTACATGCATCGACCAAGTCAGCGAGCCTGACCACCCGATCCCGTTAGTCGCCTTTTACGACATGCATAGTCACCTTTTACGGCAAGCATGGGTTGCTGAAGACCTATTCTATCCCGGAATCTTCACGGGTCTCCCAGGACGTCTCATGGAGACAGACGACAATGAAGACGTGAAGCCTATGTCAACTTGTTCGAGGGTACCAACACATGCAGAGAGGACAAAGACAACTTTATTCAAAGAACAGAGTTTCAGTTTGGCAACGCCCTATTCTTCTTCAATTTAGAACTGCTGTCTATCGACGACAGTCAACTGAACTTGGTCGAATCAGGAAACCTCAGACTCGAAGTTCAGTTCAAGATAGCACTGAGAAGTCCTCTCAATATAATAGCTCTGTCGACCAGCTCCGCGTTGTTCGAAAACGATACAGTGAAGAATGAATTAGTGAAGTAAAACAAGCGTCATGAATAGTATTCAGCTAGAATGTGCTATAAAGAACGACCCAACACTTTGAGAATATGTCGTGGGGGTGTATACAAGGCCCTAGGGACACTCTATGGAAAGTCAAACCTACTACACAGCATCATCGTGGACGGGGATGGATTGTGAACACTGATGCCGTTCAATTCTTTCTATTTTAAAATTAACCATTTGTCTTATAGTTTTATAGTTTTTATCCTTTTATTATTCGACATACACAACTGACACCTTTCACATTTAAATATGAACATGTGCGTCAGGTGAGGCATGAGCTTCAGCAGAACCTTCTTCGTCAAGCTAGACGAATGAGAGGTCATCTTGTACCACGAGCGGCTATGATACGAGTGTCAACTACTCAATTATTACATTTACTTTTCAACTCTATATACGTCATCATGGGATGGAGTGTCTGCTACCTTTCTGTACTCTACAATATCTGTCATCGGTACGTCATCATGGGATCAAGTGTTTGCTACCTTTCTGTACTCTACAATATCTGTCATCGGTACGTCATCATGGGATCAAGTGTTTGCTACCTTTCTGTACTCTACAATATCTGTCATCGGTACGTCATCATGGGATCAAGTGTTTGCTACCTTGCTGTTCTCCACAATATCTGTTATCGGTACGTCATCATGGGATCAAGTGTTTGCTACCTTTCTGTACTCTACAATATCTGTCATCGGTACGTCATCATGGGATCGAGTGTTTGCTACCTTTCTGTACTCCACAATATCTGTCATCGGTAGTACATAAAGGGGAAAGTGAGTGAGTGAGTTGTGTTTAACGCCGCTTTTAACAGTATTCCAGTCATATCACGGCTTGTCAGCTTAATGTAGGAGGAAAGGCCGAAGTGATGCAGGTCTCAGATGAAGGGGAAAGACATACCTGACTAGTAAAATGCTGCCAAACGCCAAAGATGTTTGATAAGACACCAGAGCTCATTGTCTATTGTTATGAACGCTGTTATGCAAACTTCCGTTGAAAACGTGTTGTTTCATGATGGGTTTCCAAGTGAAATTTGAACTGTACGTATTCTTGGCCTGAAACCTGTCACAAAAATAGGATTTTGGTGTTCGTGGATATTATGATGGAAATAGCGAGGAGTAAGCTTATGTTAACGTTGTGTACAGCACACTCTCATCATTTGGGCATTACGGTAATTAATGTTAAACAATCGGCTTACCCTAAGGCTCTTTTGCTGGAACAATAATTTAATACACACATTTTCGTTTTGTTGTCCAATCCCAGTTCAGCACGTGAATACAAAATTCTAGCCTCACACATCTTTCCAGCACAAGCAAAACACTTTACAGATTCATATCGAGATTCTATGGAAGTAGGCTTTTGGTTGGTTGGCACTCAGCAATAGTCCAGGTATATGACGGCGGTCTGTAAATAATCGACTCTGGACCAGACAATCCAGTGATTAATGTCATGCGCATCGATCCACGCCATTGGGATCGATGACATGCATAAACCAAGTCAGCGAGCCTGACCACCCGATCCCGTTAGTCGCCTTTTACGACAAGCATAGTCACCTAAGTAGACAAGAAGTGTAATTATCTCTTGGTGGACAGTTAACCCTATATCAATCTAGAGTATGACCGTCGTCTGAGAACTGGTATTATACCAGGTGAACTTTGTACATCTGTTTACCCAAAGATAGAAAAAAGAAAATGTTATAAAACCGCACTTTGATAGTTTCTTAATCACGTAACTATAACATGAGTAATGTCTACTTCTGGAAGATCGTCCACACTGCACCCAATGCTGTGTCTGCTAGATTTCACAATTACCCCGGCGAGGAAATTACACTCAAAGAATATCCATAGGCGTTTATGTCTACGGAAGCGTGCATAAAATCGTTAAAAGACGCCTCAAACGTGGATATACTAAACTAGTGTCCAAAAGAAACTTATTTTCAAAATTGTTTTTTACTAAGTGAATTGTCAAGTATGAAAACATGCCAATTCGTATTGCACATTCCAAACACAGCATAGTCGATAAAAAATACCGGGAACACGTGATCACTTCCGTGAAAAAACGTAAATTTCGTGAAAGTGACATTTCCCTCTCTAGCATGTTCTGCACGTGCAGAAAAACTGTATAAAACGGCTGATCAGACACGTTGATATCACAGCAACAAAAAGAACACAAGATATGCCACGTTTGACAGCCATCGAGAGAAAGAGAGTCGTTGGAATGGTCCAAAAAGGAGCGTCACACGTCGACGCCGCCAGGAAGGTTGGGCTGCGCACGCATCACTATCACCAGGTTGATGCAGCGGTTACATCAGACAGGTCAGACGTCAGACAGGCCCAGGAGTGGAAGACCACGAGTAACCACGCCCCGTGAAGATCGTTACATCCGGGTATTACACCTGAGGAACCGCACCGTAACAGCGACGTCCACGGCGGCTACAGCACTGGGACACAGGATCAGTCGACAGACCGTGTACAGGAGACTACGGCAGTATGGTATCCGGCCACGTCATCCCTACCGCGGACCGCTCCTGACGCCTCGACACCGGAACAACAGACTGATCTGGGCCAGGCGAGTTCGACGTTGGCAACGGCGGGACTGGGCACGTGTTATGTTCTCTGATGAGAGCAGATTCCTCATCTTCAGAAACGATGGACGGCAGCTTGTATACCGACGATTTGGTGAACGTTTGGCGCCTAACTGTATCCCACAGGTCCGGCCGTTTGGAGGTGGAGGGTTAATGGTTTGGGGTGGCATATGTGGTGACGTCAAAAAGATGCTTGTCGTAATTCGTGGAAACCTGAATGCACAGCGTTATCTTGATGACATCCTACGGCCTGTTGTGGTGCCCTTTATTCAGCAACAGCCTCGTGGACTCCTTTTCCAACATGACAATGCAAGGCCACACACAGCAAGATTGACACATAACTTCCTTGCCAACGCCAACGTACAGGTTTTGCCATGGCCCGCATGTTCACCGGACATGAATCCCATCGAGCACTTATGGGACCACCTCGATCGGCAAATCCGACCTCGCCGTGTGCATCCAGTCAACGCCTAGGACTTGGAACGATGTCTCCTCGAGGAATGGCAACGCATCACTCCCAACGTCATCAGACGTTTGACGTCATCAGTCCGTAGGCGTGTTCTGGCATGTATTGATGCTCACGGTGGACATACCCGCTACTGACTTGACTTTGAGACGTGTGGTGTGACATTTCCCGTTGTTTCTGTGATCAGTGCTCTAACGAAATGTTCATTTTTCGACCCCACCCATCTTTAAAGGCTTGTCGTATTGGTTGTACAGATTTTATTGAAATGAAGTTTTTGT